GAAAACAGAAAACGTCTAGTTTATATTCAGTGTGTTAAGTGTAGATGTGTAGATGGACGAAGTTTTAAAAAAGGTTGGCCACTCCAGTCTAGTCTAAAAATTAAAGATTGCACAAATTAGGTGAGTTTATATGGTTTCCCTTGTATGGGAAAGATGGAGTATGATAAATCACCTTAAGGATATGATTTTTATTTTCTCATGGAAGTATCTGAAATAACGTTGATTTGATAAACTGGTATCATTCTTCATTGATAAGCGAAGAACTGGAAATATCAAGAAGAAGCTATATTATTCCACATCTAGGTTCATACTTGACATCATGTTAAGAATAGCAATAGTAGTAATAGGTACAGATTGATAATGGAATGAAAACTCGGTGGGATTCAAACCAGCATCGAGAAGGCAATATGACGGGCACTGGTTTAAATCCTCCTGCATATTAGGTTTCCAGTCCACTTTCAATCATCAGCCTATTAAAGTTATTATTATAAGCAACTCAATGCTCAGTATCTACCAGATGTGAGATTATAAAGTTTCATGTTGATCTTTGCCATCCATTACTTTCCCATAAAAGATAATCTTTATAAATTCAATGGTGAACTTGCCTAAACTTATACTAGGAAGAAGCACTTGGAGAAGCCGTAATTAGGCAACCGTTCTTCGTAGCATGAAATCATTATTGATCCAGTGAAAAATAGGCTACATAACATAGTCAAAAGTATTTTGTGAAACGTTGTAATTCATTCTTGGTGGTAACAGTAATCCCTAACTACATTACGAATAACATAAGTTTCATCAAGATCACTGATATGCTATCTCCCATACTTTTTTGTGGTCATCTTTTCACTTAGTAATTTCTCACATACTCTCATATAATCACTTTTATCCCACTTTTAAATTTCTCGTATACACCTCAGCATTCAAATGGCAATATAAACGCTGAATAACTTTTCTCATGATTAGTAATATCTTTCTTGCATATTTTTCGGTCTATACAACCCTCATGCTCATTGCTTTCCCCTCCCCCTCTAATGGACTACTTCTTTCTCAGTCACTATTATATATAAATTGCCTTAATTAATATCAGTTTATATTTAGTAAAAAAAATTTTATCAATTTATTCTCCTTTGTAAAACGTGGGTTTTCTAGGCTTTATAAAATCGGTAGAAAGCAACAATTGAAGTAAATATGTATATTGATTCCCAGTCTATCTATACACATATGAATTGAGTGAGTTGACGTTATCAGTGCTAGTTATGTCAAAGTAGGACTTTATTGGATGTCAACAAATCAGTAGGGTTTTTTTTTTCTAACATAATACTTCTAATCTTATTTTACAATACTATCAACGTTTCTATCGCTACTACATATATAGGAGGATTCTTTGAATTTTATATCACTTTTTAATTCTGTCAAATAACTGGTCATAAAATGTAAAACAATCAAGGTGAATTTTTTTAATAACACACAAATACACACATGCACATATGCACTTACACTTTCATAGAAGCATTAAAACCAAATAATGAAGAATGAAAAGTTTGAGTTTGTAGAGAAGGTTCCAGTCAGACTATGTACAATGATAATACAGAAGTAGTCATACATAATTTTTCCTAGTGTATGTAAAAATAAAAATTTGTGGGTGAATAGCGTGATTCAATAATAATAATAGAGATAGAAACCTAGTAACTCCAAATCAATTATACTTGTAAATGTTTCTGTTTATCTCCAAGTAGCTCTTTAAATACAAACACAAACACATAAAAATATCAACGCTTCCGTAAATCATTCATTGACTTTACAAAATTATATAACTAACCAGTAGAGGATCAGTTTAGAGCTTACATTGACAAAGTTGAATTCTCAGTGATATTATTTGGACAAACATTAGAAATTTCATTGGAATAGGCAGTATTAGACTCCTCGGCACTTTGCATCCATAGCTCCTTGGGGGATCGAACTCAGGACCTTCAAGTCTTGCGATGAGTTTGATGAATGATCTATCAATTGCCTTGTTATTGTATGTTCATGTATACTTGGAAACATCTAAGCAAATAGTTGGATTCATTTTTTAATTCAATGTTCAACTATCCCTTTTAGAAGAGGAACAACATAGAATTCTGACTACGATTCTAAAAGAAGAACAAGACATATTCTACTACTGGTTTGTGATATGTTTCCATAACTCTCTCTTTTCATGAGTAAATGAACCTGAGCACTTAAGGCTCCAAAAGAATCATATATGCCTTACCAGAAATGTGAACTTATTCACCGAAAATCCTGAATGTGTTATTCTGCCAAGGTTTGTTGAAATGATTCAGAATTGAAGTTACAGTAAAAAAGTAGACATCTTTGTTATTGGAAGGATGAAATCCCTATATAAGTTGGTTTTCTGTTTCCCCTAACGATGTGGTTGGATGTTAAAATGGATTTTTTGTGTCCTGCTTGGCTTACATTTTTGTACGATTACAGCTATTAGTTGTTGCCTCTGTTCTTAGTTATTCGCACATAGTATTGTAAGCTTTGTGGAATAACATGTTGTGTTGTATTACTACCTTGAGGCCATAAGCAATTTTATGAACACACCCTGTTCTTCTCAACAGTTCACACCTATGACAGTGCAATCGTCCAGGCCTAAGACTGCCAGGTGCCGCAGTTATGCTATAAGTATTCAGCCACTGAATTCGATTTCGATGATACTATATTTTTTATTTCTGAGAAGCTTTGACCTGTAGGGTTAGTAAAGATGGGAATGAAAACAATTACTCATTGCCGATATTGGATGATACTGACATTACAACATAAGTTGAAAGAGGTATGAAATGGTGGGTCAGCGAAATCAACCTGGTGGCTGAATGCTAACGTTATTATCGTAAGATTTGGCTATCATAGGCTTCATCCTTCACACGGAATCTGGGGCAAATTTTTGACAAGCCTCAAGATAGGAGGAAACAGCTGTCCAAAACCCTTAGATTTTGAAAATTCTTCAAAGGATTCCGACCTAGGATAAAAACTACACTGAAGTGTCCACAGACTGTTGGGTTCTGTTTTTATTGAGATTCTTGATAGGGCTTATTTAATGTTTTCTAAAAGCGTCATGTTCCATTTACTACCCAAGAAAAAGAAATATATTTCTCAGTTAAATTGCTAAAACCTAAATTCACTTTATTGCTTTTATTAAATATGTCAGAGAGTTAAGTACCAATGTTGATTGAATGACGTTTTGAGCACAACTTGTTGTTCATCATTATGGCATGATGATCATACAAGATTCACTTGTGTTTAAAGTTACATCGTTCACTCTTCAATTTTAATAATAGTAATAAAATTTGCCGCTGTCGGCAATAAGTTTTGCTGGAACTACCGTCTAGTAAGTAATCCTACTTCAGTGCTTGAGGTATATAATCAAATATTTGAACCAGAATTATAATAACTTCTAAAGTTTGCTCTGATCATGTTGTCTAGAATGACAATGAGAGCTTCACGATTAATGGGCCACATCACAGAATACAATACCATCAAGATTATACTCCATTACAGTGATTAAATTCCACTCTTATATAATTTTCAAGGCCTAACTTTTGGAACATATGCAAGCCGTCGGCAATAATTGCTGACTTTCATGATATGAATTTCATGTTATCTGAAGTTCAAAGCAAATAGCAATGTAGCTCAAAGTTATATGCAGCAGAGTTGAATGATGAACAACTTATCTTAGATTCTTTTCCTACTCATATTTTTTTCGCTTTATTGACTAGTAGTCTTAGGTTTTATTGTCATCATCTACTTGTTAATATTCTTGTTGAGCTCTTGTATCTGTGCTGGAGTAAAGTTTAAGAATCAAGATACACCTTGTTATTGAATATTCTTTGAACAAGAAATAATTGTCACAGCCAAAAAGCTCGCTGGGTGACATCAGGAAATCTGAAACAAGCGTTTTCAAATTCTGACGTGAAATGGACAATCATTTTGTTTCAAAAAAGATGGTTAACCATCATTTTCAATTCTAAAGCCATCGATTGCAGAATACTACTCTGAATGTGTCACTTGCTTCTAAAACTACTGAGTTGACTTGTCAGTTCAGTAAATAACCTCCAAAGACAAGAAGCATAAGCGCCATGTAAGAACTTATAAAAAAATCACCAAAAAACGAAGTTCTAAACTCTAGATAATATTAGCTATTTCAATGTGTCCTTTTCAGAGGTTTGTAGTTTGGAATCATCTATGATCTCCTGCTTCCTAAAGGGTAACCAAAAATATTAACATCATTGACTATCTGAGGTAATCGTGGTTTGGTAGACTAGTATTGATACAGGTGAAATGAAAATTTGGACCGCAGCAGGATTCGAACCTGCGACCACTAGGTTTCCGGCTCGACGCTCCACCAACTTGGCTACAAGGCGCAACTGTTGTTTCAGCTTTCTTAGTGCGTTACTATTGCTTGATCGTATTCACACTGGTTGCCCATCTGACTGAATCAGAGAGGAGAGCACCATATTGGATACAATTTTTGACTATCTGTTATTATTATTATTATTATCAGTCCCTTGGGTTCCTAGTGGAACATAGGGCTTCAGTAGCACGCCTCCAGTGACCTCTGTTCTCTGAGATCTTTTGAACCTGGTCCCACGACAGCCCACAAGCTCTCATTTCCTCCTCGCACGACCTCCTCCATGTCACCCTCGGACGTCCAACTCGTCGCTTCCCATGGGGATTCCACTCGAGTGACTGGCCTGACGCGTGATGTCCTCAGTCGGCCTTCTCAGTGCATGGCCAATCCATCTCCACTTCTTCCTGCATATTTGTTGCGTGATAGGTTCTTGGTTGGTTCGTTCCCAGAGTTCCTTGTTGCTTATTTTTTCTGGCCATCTGATCTTCAGTAGCGAGCGTAAGCAGTTGTTGATGAATGTCTGTAGTTTATTGGAAATGCCTTTCGTGACGCGCCAAGTCTCTGAGCCATACAAGAGCACTGACTTGACGTTGGTGTTGAAAATCCGTATCTTGTTCCGCATGCTGAGTGCAGAAGATCTCCACACTGGTTTCAGGCTAATGAACGCCTGTCTTGCTTTTCCGATTCTGACTTTGACGTCCTCGTCCGTCCCGCCTGTAGTTGAAACAGTGCTTCCTAGATAAGTGAAGGAGGTTACTTCCTTCAAGTTTCTCCCGTTGACGGTGATTGGAGTTTGTTGTTGTTGTTGATGGTGGTGGTGCGGTATCTTCATCACTTCTGTCTTCTCTATATTCACCTGAAGTCCCGTCTTCGCTGCCTCTTCTATCAACTTGTTAGTTTTTGCCTGCAGATCTTCAAGTTTATGTGACATTAGGCACAAGTCATCGGCGAAATCCAAGTCTTCTAGGTTCTTTTCCGTCGTCCAGTGTATCCCCCTCTTCTCGCTGCCTACTGTTTGCTGCATGATCCAGTCCACCACAATAAGGAATATCATGGGGGATAGTAGGCAACCTTGTTTCACTCCTGTCTTCACTTCAAAAGCATCACTGAGCTTCCCATTGTGAATTACTTGGTATGTGGCATCTTCATATAGTTGTTGAATGAGGCGGATAAAGGTTTGCGGTACTCCGTAGTATTGAAGCAGTTTCCAAATTACTTCTCGGTCGACGCTGTCAAAGGCCTTCTCAAAGTCGATGAAGTTGAGGTAGAGAGCTGATTGCCATTCTATGCTCTGTTCTATGATGATGCGAAGCGTTGCAATTTGGTCTGCACATGATTTGTACTTCCTGAATAGCCTGCCTGTTCCGGTCGCAGTTTTGAATCCAGTGCATCTTTAAGCCTCTCCAGGATGATGCGGCTTAATATTTTACTTGGGGTGGACAGGAGAGTGATTCCGCGCCAGTTCTTGCAAGCACTGAGGTCTCCTTTCTTCGGCAGTTTGACAAGGTAACCCTTCTTCCAATCAATGGTCAGGTACCTTCTCTTCCTTCCACACCTTCTGCAATAGTGGTGTGGTGTGAGCATGTCCGCTGTTGTCTCTGCATCTGTTCTCAGTGCTTCTGGCGGTATTCCATCTGGTCCTGCTGCTTTCCCGCATTTCAGTAGCTTTATGGCGTTCAGGACTTCCATTTTCGTTGGGGGATTTATGTTCACTTGTAATTCAGCGGCTGCAGGTGGTATTTCTGGACGGAGTGCAGGTGGTGGTCGATTCAAGAGCTTCTTGAAGTGGTCGGCCCATCGTTTCCTCTGTTTCTCTTCTTTTGTAATTAAATTTCCTTCTTCATCTTTTATTGGTTTCATCTGTGTTGGTCTCTTCCCTGATAGCAACCTGGTTATTTGATACAATGTCGTCAGGTCTCTCTTACCTGCAGCCTGTTCTGCTTCACTTGCCAGTGTTTCGTAGAAGTGTCTTTTGTCTTTGCGTGCACTCTTCTTCACTTCTTTGTCCAGTGTTTTATACATTGTGCTCAGTTCCTCTTGTCGTTGAGCATCCTTGCACTGGTTTATCTTCTGCTTCACCATCCTCCTCTCCTCTATCAGCTTCCAGGTATCCGTCGAGATCCATTCCTTGTCTTCTTTCTTCTTCCTTCCTAATACTGTTGTGCAGGTTTCTTTCCACATAGCTTTCAAAGACTTCCAGTGTTCTTCCACACAGGTTTCTTCAGGGATGTTGCTCGATGTCTCCCATTTTGTCTTGATGGCTGCCTTGAAGATCTCCTTTGTAGTTTCATCCTTCAGTTTCCGAGTGTTGTACTTGAGTTGAGGTCTATCACCAGCTTCCTTGAAGGCTTTCAACTTGATTTGGAAGGTTCCTTGCACTAGATAGTGGTCTGAACCTACATCTGCTCCTCTTCTTGACCTTGTGTTAAGTAGACTGCGTCTCCATTTTCTTGAGATTGAGATAAAGTCGATTTGATTTTTAGTGTGTCCATCTGGTGAAATCCATGTCGCTTTGTGGATATCTTTGTGCCTGAACACACTGCCTCCAATCACCAAATCGTTGAATGCACAGAATTCTGCAAACAATTCTCCATTCTCATTCATTTCACCTAGCGCCTCTCGACCCATGGTTAGTTCTCTTCCCGTGTTGTCCCCTCCCAGTTTGGCATTCATGTCGACCATTAGAATTTTGATATCGCCAACTGACGTCTTGTCCAGTGTTGATTGAAGTTGTCTGTAGAAATCCTCCTTTTTCTCTTGCTCTGCATTATTTGTAGGTGCATAACATTGTATGATTGTGACCTTCCTTCCTTTTGAGTTGAATCTTGCTGTCATGATCCTGGAGGAGATTGGTTCCCACTGCATGAGAGCCTTCGATGCTCTTGAGGACATCATGATAGCCACTCCCTCAGTGTGCTCGTGGTTGGCGTCTGGGTGACCGGAGTAGATTATTGATTCTCCAGTTGACAGTTTGGAGAGTCCACTCCCATTCCATCTGCTTTCGCAAATCCCAAGCACTTCGATGTTATACCTTCTCATCTCCCTTGCAATCTGGGCTGCCTTACTGGGTTCAAACATCGTGCGGACATTCCATGTCCCCACGTTTACTTTCGCTTTCATCAGAGAGAGAAGACACATCGGCCAATTGGCTTCCCGAAGGCTTTCACCAACTGGCGTCATTTCGCCTCTCCGATTCCAGCGGGGAATAAGTTTGTTTTCATTTTTTATAATTTGTTTGTGCTTTGAAGTTTCTTTAGCGGTTAGATTTGTTTTACGGGGTAGGGTTGCTAGCCCTATTCCCAACCTTCCCTCTTTACCCGGGCTTAGGACCGGCTAGTAACTAGTAAACTAGTTAACCAAGCGAGGTTAAACCTCAGGCCCCGCCGAGATGGTGTAATGGTATAATGATAATCATAATAATAATGGTTCCGGTAGAAAGATGTATTCGAGTGTTTTGAATCTCCCTTCCGACCATTTCCTTTCACCAGAGGTGACTTCTTAAAAATAACATTAGTAATACTCGAAAATGTAATAGGTCGGAAGCTGTAAGCCGATCAGTAGCAAATCGTGTTTGCCTTTCGTTTCTCGCTTGTTACTGCTCCTTAGGAAAATAAATGTCTAAACTTAAGAGATTTGATGTTTTAATGGAAATTTCCATTTTTATCACCCCTCTGCTGTCGTCAGAGCTTTTGTGACCAAGCTGGTAACGCTAAAACTAACTCTTTTTAATGCTAGAAGGTGTTTACTGCGATGGTTTTTTGTTTTCTCCTTACTTTGGATGATAAGGGGTTAATAAATGCTAAAATGTTTATTTTCATGCACAAATAAGAACAACAGACCAACTGATGCGGTAATAAAATGAAATTTTAACTAAAAATACTTCGTAAAAACACAATAAATTAACGGATGTAACAAGGAAAAAGCAGTTCATTAGTAATGTTCACAATTTAACTGAATTATTTTTGCAATATTTAAAAAGCATGTCGTTGGAAAATAAACATATTCCCAGTCATATTTGGGTTTGTTTTGTTTGTTACTTACTAACGTGGAGTGTTTGTCATTTTCTTAATCTACACCTCAATCAAACTCTCTGTTGAATGTAAGTAAGGTGTTCGAAAACGGAAATTACTCCCGCTAATGAGTTTCTTGTTTCACAATTATTATCGGCACAATCGGAGAAAAAGCTAGTGTACATATAAAGTTCTTGGATATATTCACTTATCTGACTTAGTGAAATAGTTTTTTAGCATGAAAATGTTAGGCAACAAAACATTTTCTTATATCAACAATAATGGACATGACAGAGCTAAAAGTGAATTGATTGGTCATTAAAGAGTAACTAATCTCATATTGTCTAGTCTTGAGTGCTGACTGAATTCCATCGATCAGTTGCAATATGATCGCCAAGCTAGAAGGTACACCACTTCAGTGCACTTTGATAGATGTTAGTTAGTTGGCGGCAGTCAGCAGGAAGGCCTGAACGTCAATTTTGTGCTTGTGGGCAGTCATCGGCAAGGCGTATCTGTAACCTTGAGGCAGCTGATGTCTTCTTTGAGATTAAAACCCATGCCACGCTATGTTGCAATCGATGACGTTACTAGTGACCTATTCAGCAGCAGTTGACAAGCAGGCAAACGCTTGAAGCTTAGGTCAAGGACTGTCTGACAATAGCCTCCAACTAACTAACGAAGTTAGAAATAATTAGGCCAACCGTAAATAACCAAATTATTTATTCACTTTGGTACTCTGAAAGATGAGAGAAAGACATGGTTAGGCAACCAACAATACAAAGTTTTAATGGATTTATGTCATTTACTGACACGAAAGCGAGACATTTCATAGTGTATAACCAGATTAAACGATAGTTGGTTGTCTTACAGCCTAAACCAGCAGAGCATAATTTCGGTAGCTCCATGACGTGGGTTCGAGTTCCGATATGATTCAGTTCCTTCAAATTTCAGTCATCCTTCTCGTGAATACAAATGAATGAAGTTTGTCATTTTCACTAGGTATTTTTTAGTCTAACCCATATAAATTAAAATAAACACTTCAGAGAGCATTAACGAAAAATTTATTTCTATGAAATACATGATTTACAGTCTAAAATGAAAATCACTTTTATTTAAATAAATGAAGTCTACTTATCAAATTTTATTGCGGTTTTGAGTATCTGATGCAAGATTCAACTGATATTTTCACTGCTATTATGAATACGAATTAACGGACCTGCCACATACACAACTGATATCAGAATCATCCATAGCAGTCAGTTCAGTTTGTCATCGATTCTACATGAAAATGTTATTGTGAACACTGTTATATACACAAATATGTACTCAGTTCAAGGTTTACGGGGAATTCATTTCTAAGTAGAATTCATCCTCGACTAACATCAATTGCAGAACCATTGAAAACCTGAGACCACTGAACATATCTTTTGTTGTAGTATGTGATTCATCAAACCTATCCCAGTTTACTACCCGGCCCTAAGCTTGGATAAAGAGGGAAGGATGGGCATAAAGCTAGCAACACCACCCCGAAAAACCAATCCGTTCTCCACTGAACCTGACTTCGATCTCTGGCCGGTTCATGGGTACGATTGCTGAAGTCTTCGTATTAGATTAAACAGGTATCCAGTGATTCTAGGTTTCTAATGGTCCTCCAACTTAGCTGTCTATGATGAACATATTACCTTAAACACACATGTATATATATATATATATGTATATGTAAATGGAGTGATTTCTACTGTTTATAGATTTCATGATTTGTGGTTATCGGTATCATATTTCCTGGCAATTGCTGAAAAGGTAGTTAGAAGTTGGGTATGAGAAATGAGAAACTAAACTTCTGAGGGCTTTTTAATGTCATAAAGTTTAGATACTTGATGCCGAATCGGAATCCCTCTAATTCTATCGAATCTACTGTTGTTCTGTGTCAACTAAGATGAAAAAGGCACTACAGTCTAACCAGTTCTCAAGTATTATTTTGCATAAAGGCTTAAAACAAAGTAAACTGAAGTAAATTTCATGGGTAACTAAGATTGATTTAGGATAAAGCTTAAAGTTGCATGATAGTGGTCATTGTAAGTAGGGTCTTCTCACTTATTTTCAGGGATAGAATTATATCTCTGCGGTGGTGCATTATTCCATATTAAACAAGTTTATTTGATAAAACACTGTTTTAGTGTACTTGGTATTAAACAAACTTTTTTAATACATGATATTATTCACTTGTGAGTTACTGGAAACTGCGAATTTGACATTCTAGTGCATTCACTTTGAAAAACTCCTGTACATAGCTGACTAGCACGAACTAATTTTTAATCAAGTAGTAATCAAATTGCAAATAGCGGTAGATATTTTTTTTTCATCCGTTCACAGAGCGGAAACTCTAGAAATTCACTTCTTCCAGGAAAAATGACACTTTTGAACTTCAAGACATGATACCATGAATCAGGTACCACGTACTCTATAGATATTCAGTAGTATTTATCCAGTTAATAGTAATTTGCTGAGTAAAAATTTTTTTAGGATTATATTGACCTCTTGTTTTGGTTAGTCTGCATGACTATTACTCTTGTCTTACTATGCGATTTTTACCTATTATGTTTCTAATTGTAAACAATTTAGAACACTGTCCAGAGTTCAACTTACTTCGATGTGTACAGAATACAGCATCCACTTCACCATGTGATCATATCCTACTTAAAGATTCCACTTACAGAACATTAGATCCAGACACATTTAAGCACAGCAGTAGTCCACAACCGTGTAATTCTTCTTCTACTTTCAGTTCAAATACTTCTACCAACCCTAATGTCATTAATAATAATCAAAGTCAAAAATACAATACAATATCAACATTGCATAATCCTCTCACTGGTGGGTATGTAATCGAGATGAATACATCGAATACAGAAAATCCATACACCTTATTAAAAACATGTGATATACCTGGATTTAATAAAGAATTAATTTATCAACCATTATGTTCAACATCTGTATCTCAAAGACAATATTGTTTAGCGCCAGTAACATATGAAGCAGAAGAAGAAGAAGAAGAGAATCAAGCTGATTTATGCGTTGTAAATACTTGTTCTACATCACCTGTTAAAACAAACACTTCACAAAGACAAGTACGTTTAACCAATTTGAATTCACCGCAAATTAATGAACGAAAGAGAAAAACAAAAATCACTATTCAATAAAATAATAAGAGTATGTACATTCGCGTGTTAATTTTTTAAACACTTTTCGAAAGAATTAATTTTTATGAATTGCAAATGAAGTAAATTAACAATAATAATATTGATGTTTATGAAAAAAAACAACTTTGAATTGAAGCAAACACTTTTGAGTTCATTTTTATATTAATGTGTAAGTGCAATTTCAGATGCTCAGAGGTAACAAACAGAAGGCTAAGCCTATTATCTCATCCATACGTGTTAACACTCAAGGGGAAATAGTGTGTTAACTCATAATCTCAGATCTACAAAACAAGGTAACAGAATCGTAGGTGATACCAAAGTTTGTATAAGTTGTATTACATATCAATAGCTTCGTAGACGGTTTTCATAACACATACTAGTTTCTGAGGTACGATTGACAGATAAGCCTAAACAAGTTTTGTATGCTATTTTAGTGAATTGTGGAGTAAGCTCTCCTGTTTTCAGTCATTGAGATCATCTAACGAACTAGTTACCGTTTCCTGATCTCGTTGGTCAATAAAGTAATAAAATCAACAGTATAATGATCAGACTTATGGTAAATTGTTTCGATATAAGATTTTATAATGAAGCAGGTTAGTGTAACCCCTTAGAAAAACCCAAAGTGTACTTTTAGACAATACGTTACTTAAGTAGAGTAGATTGCTAATATATTCCAGAAAACTTTTCTTGTCGTTATGGAAATATGCTTATAGTATGATGATGGTTTGGTTTTCTCTAAGCTTCTATGTTCTTAGCTACATATCTTCTAAATCATTTCAAAATCCTTGAAGTCCTTTCTGAAGAAGGTATATTTGCATGAACATTTTGCACAAGGAAATAGATAAAACCGGTGTGAAAACTGGTATATTTCCGTGAGATCAAACAAATCTAAGTCGAAGTCACGTCAGTAAATGGAACGATGTGATTCCGTAGGTTATCTGGCACAAGAACAGTGAAATTATTTTCATTTTTGTCTTCTGTAAACATACAGACAAATAATCGTTCGGAATGAACTAATTCTACGAAGGAGAAGCGTTTTTAATTCAGAAAGTATTGAAGACAACCAAGCTTTATTTATTACTGAGTAGTAGACAAATTGATGGGAATAAAAACCAAGATAATATCCAGCATTCACCGAATCCATTTCATGAGTCACTGTAAATTTAGGGACCGTGAACTCATCTCTTCTGAAATTAGGATCACTAAAGCAGTGTACACTTCTGATTTTACACTGAGTGAAACCTATAGCATTAAAGGTTTTATTGGTCAGTATCCCCAGGCCCTCGAGTCGAACCCGGATGGGAAACGACGAGTTGGGCATCGGTGTCCAGAGTGACATGGGGAGATCGTATGAGGAAGAAATGAGAGCTTCTGGGCTGTCGTAGAACCAGGTTCAAAAGATTGCAGGGAACAGAGTGCACCGGAAATGGGCTACTGAAGCCGTATGTTCCATTAGGAACCCGAGGGACAAACAGTAACCCTCTAAATTCAATCAGCACATAAACAGTAATTACCAATGGACATCCGTCCCAACCAAAGGAGCTCCAGAAGTCTATTTCGCTTTAAGTGCCACTTACTAATGCATTAACTGAAGTACAGGTGCATGATTTTGTTTTAATTCTCACCAGGAAAGTTGATTAAAATAGGTCTTTCCCTTCAACAACTTGGTTCATAAGAAACTATACTACCTATATTATCACTTTCAGGCAACAGGTACTTAAATTACTAAAGTATCCTTTAAGTGAAATATTGTTTTCAAGTTCCACATGAAATTTAGTTATACACCAGTCAGGTTCATAATTTGACCTTCTTTCTAATAAGATTAAAAACAATTTTGATAAATTATCTTGTAAATGGCAGTATCGGTTGCATTAAGTTGCTAAGGTAAACAAAACAATAAATCAAAAATGTTTTCGTTAAATAAACAATTTTTGAATGTCTATAATATAATTACAGTTGCATCTGTTAACCTGGCAACGTTCATATATTTCTTGCTGAGCACGTTTACATAATTTGCTAAACAAAAAAAAAGGTAATGGAAATAGGAGTAATAGAATGTGAATTAATGTCAATTTATTTTTCACCATAGATTACCATAAGTTAGAGATTGCTGAAAAACCTAGGAGTACTCAGTAGCTGTTTTGTCACACTTTAGGTTTACTCAGTAGTGTGTACCACGACTAATAGGCTTCACAACGTTTAATTAACTAACCAACCCGTGGGTTAGACTTCAGTCGTTCACATTTTCCTGCCTCTATAACATTATCAATGCCGAATATCATTCGTGAGGATTCATCCTCACATCAAAACTTAGGTAAATGCATAGACTAGGGTTCCTAGGTGTAATTTCATGGAACCTATGTCAACAAAAATCACTAACGAACATGGAATTCAAAAACGTTCTCATCCTCAGATCTACAGGAGAAATAATTAATCATATCTAAGGTCATCAAGACAAGCTACTAAGTTTATTTGTGGCAAATCCTCATAGCTTAATCCCTTCTGAAGTTTGTACTGATGATTCTGCCTAAATGAGAATAGACACTTCATAGTGAGACCACGTATTCAAAAAAAATTCTACGAAAATCATACTCCTCAGCTTCAAGTATTCTCTATCATTTCAAAATATTCTAGACTTTGGTCAATACTACAGGGTATTAAAAATGTAGAATTGCTTCCATCTAACTCAGGATTCATAGTCTATTACGTCGTATCACATATCAAGTGACTGTTGTTAATGTTTTCCATTTCATTGATATAACATTGAAAACAGCGGGTAGTCCAAAAATACTGCAACGAAACACGCGCCAAAATATTTCATTTCCAGTTTCTTTAAAATTGTGAAATTAATCTCCGTCACTTATGGTGTACAGTTGTTGATTTCGTATAGGCATAAAAGCTGCAAACACTAGTCAAGTGTTTGAGAACTTCTGCCCTCGGAAATATCCACGAAATGTAACTGAACTTTAATCATCTGAATAGCGAAACATCTATCACTTTAGACTTAAGGATAAAAACTGTTGTGACCTATTTTGGATGCATCATTTCCTGTTATTTGAAAAGAACCTCTGCTTGGTTAGTTGTATACCATTCCAAAAGTTTGGTTATTTCTATCTCTAAATATAGCTTGATACTAATCAACGAAATTAACACTCATTACGTCCTAAGCTATTGCTTCGGTTATTATCATTATCACACCTATTTAGCTTCAACTTGATCGAATTAGATTTCCCTTCAACTTTATTCCAAATTTTTAATTGTGGAAAAATTTTCCTTACATCACCATAATGTTTCATTCACTTCACTAACAACATAACCGCAACATAAGATACTTTCTGACAATTTTAAAACTTAGTTTCAGAACTGAAATGCGCTGACAGTGCATAAATCTTTTTAAGATAGTTCTTTCAAAAGTTTGTGCTGATGATATTACGTAGAAATGCAATGAAAGCTTCAAGATTACACCATCCAGTAGAGAGAACATAACATCATCACACATAATTTGTTGGTTTTCTGAACAAAACTGCATGTCACATCTTGTAATAATAAATTCAAACACTTCAAACTTATTTTAAGTGAGATCAACTAAATAGTCACTGTAAATTGAGATAAATAATGAACAAATTTGTTTCAGATTGGATCGTTTTAGTTTTTAGGATCTCTGTTATCCTTAGGTCATCTTCGTCACTCACTCACTGTTATAACCCAGAATTACTGATTCTACATAGTAGAAAGATCATTGTTTAGTGTAACTTGTTTGTTTTTGCAGTTACACTTAACAATAATCAACTAACAGTTAATAGCAGCTCATTACAAATTCATTTGTATCCAAATGTTTGATGAGGACCAAGATATTCTTCGAAGCAACTATTTTTCAACATTTTAAGCTCTACAAACTGTTAACTTGATTTTGAAGTTTATTTAAGCGTTTCTTCAAATGTTAACTGTCTGCAAAATGGTATATGATGATTTGAAACATAAAGTTAGTTCATAATCGCCTGCATATCAAAGGGCATATTTGGAATTCACTGAAAGTTAAAAATTTCCACCATAATTCATCATTTATCAACTAGTATTATATTTCATAGCTCTTATTTTGTTAAAGTACTCATTAAACTAAATTGAACTGAGGAACTTAGAGCATATTTCACCAAACTGAGACTTGTTATTGTTTCGATCGCTCATAAATACTTTATTATCATTGACAGTTTTGAAGGATTGAATTATCTTCCTTGATCTCCTCTTTCCATTTAGTCAGTAGGTTATGCATTTATGAATATATCTTATACATTTCATCAGTAAGTAGTGTAAAATCGTGCAGTTCCGATTGCATCGAACCGACAACTCGTTTTTCATCACCAGTGCTACAGATATGGGTGGAAAACATAAAAACATAGAACAATGTTTATTGAAAAAAGCAGAATGTATATTTCACGCTGTTATGCGCAGCATGAATTTATCGGTAGTCGGAAAAATGTATCTTTAGATAACATATGCTGTTACGATGATAGTTTTGTGAAAAAGATGGTCTAGTTTCTGGCATACAAATGTCTACCTGCATTGATTACGTCTAAGAAAACATATGTCTGATCGACAAAAGAAAATAATAACATTGTTATCCTTTCTTATCCAGGAGTTTCTCCAACCCTCTGATTATCCTTGGGTCTTTAAACGCTGTCAGCCTACTACAACCACCTCTTTTGTATGAAAATTATGTACTGGTGGTTATTGATGCATTCAAGCATTCAACCCATATTTATTGACTATGACAATGAATAATTTCAGTTTGTTCCAGTCTCTTAACGTGACAGTTTGAGTGCAAAGCTTTCATTATTCCATTCCTGTAATATTACAAGGACCAACTTCAAAAGTCAAAACATCTACTTGATTAGGTGTTACGTGAGCTAACATTGTAGAACAAACTAACACCTCACACTCCATGCTATTTAGCAACTAATGTAACTTCTAATGAGAGGTCAAAAGGACGTGAGGACAGTTAC